AAGGAGAGGAATGGGCAACACGGGGGCAAGGGGGGATCTGAAAGAAAAAGCACACAGACACGGCCGCGCTCACGGCACGGCCAAAACACCTTTGCCTGCGTTCGCGCTGTGACCGCAGCAGTGGCGTCACCGCAGGTGCCTGGGTGGGCCCAGGAGCTGCTCTTCCAGGAAGGGAGCAGTCGCTCTGGGCCATCCCAAAATGGCCTTCGCCACCTCCCACCCCTGGCACAGACACCTTGTCCAGAACAGGACCACCACCCCAAGATGGGCCCTTTTCATGGCAAACGGAGACTTTGCACAAAGCAAAAATTGTTTTGAAGATGCCCATCCTCAAACTAATCTACCAACCTACATTTAAGTTGCACACTCAGGGTCGCTCAGCTCAGCGGATCCCGAATGGCACCTTCCTCGCAGTGCACACTTGGCATCCTTTGCTCTGATTATTTCCCCACCAAATGTCTAATTAAAAAACCAAAAAGCATCCTGTCCACATGGTGGCCTGGTAGCTGTCACCAGCACTTTGCCTTTGGCCTTACCTCACTGGTTTTGGTGGCCTCGGGTGAAGGCCAGGGTTACGTGGGGGTTTTCAGCGCAGACACGTTCCCCGAGCAGACGGCACTGCTCACTGCGCTCTACTGAGCACCAACTATGTACAACGTCGCAGCTCCCTGCGTTATTGGCTTGCGGTTTATGGTACAAAGGCAATTCTGATGGCTGAAGCTTTGTGGCAGCTTAATGCATCTTTGATGTCAGTTATTTATCCTTTTCTGGACATTTTTCCTTCTCTCTGGGGTACAGTCGCCCGTGAGCTCTCCCAGCTGTCCCAGCATATTCAAGTCAGGCTGGCTGCTCAGGACTGCTGGAAATAAGACCTTGTTTGGAGGTCGTGCCCATGGGAACAGAGAAGTGCTCTGATCCTTTTCACAAAGGCCTAAGTGACTCACACCAAGGAGTTGGAGTCAGCAGTGCGCAGGAACGCAACTCCAGAGCTTTAAGTCCTCTTGCTTCTGTCCTCCACGCAGCCAGCCAAATTGCTTCCTACATCACGGCGTTTTTGGTGAGGTCCAGTTGAAGACAGGAGAGAGAGCTTGCACGGGGCCGGACCGTTAGGATTTTAAGACAGTGTGTGGAAGGCACTGCTGTGATGAAGGTCTCTGCTGCCACCATGTCCAGCGGCTGCACTCGCCATCCCCAGTGTCGCAGCACAGGGACCACTCGGCACGGCCACATCCATCCTCCTTTGGGGATGAGCCTACCTGACGTGGGATGCTGCTCACCAGCACCCGTTTTGTTTCTCAACTGATTCCTGTGGTTGGGTCTTCCCACAGCCGCAGACTGGTCCATGCTGGATCCCACAGGGGCACCAGCACTTTGGCCGTGCTGATCTCTCCTGCCTCCCTTTAAGCATAAATTCATCCTTTATGGCAAAGCTTGGACCACTTTGACGTCCACATCCTCTGTACTTTGGTGGACTGCAGCGTTGGGGTGCTCCGCAGCCGGGCTCATGCGGAGGCGGCTTGCCTAGAAGTTAGACTCTTGTATATGGGCTTTTAATAAAGGCTTTCAAGGTGGTGAAACGTTTGATTAGCACCTTGCTCCCCCTTGGAGTGGGTGCTTTGATAGCTCATGAGCAGAAGATTAAATGGAATTATTTAAGCAGTGACACCAGGCAGAGAGAGATTCCAGAGAATGACGTCTCCCACTTTGATGTCAAAATACCTGCAATGAAGTGAACTGGAGAATCAAAACACCGCCGGCCTTGCAGAAGGAAGGGGGCAATGAGAAGGATGAGAAATCTTTTCATCTAAGGCAAAGTCATGACCCCCTCCTGATCAAACCTCGAGTCCAGTTTGCTGCAAGCATGAAGAAAATGCCATTTTGAGATGAGGCTTCCTCTTCCCAAAGGAGGAATGGAAAAGTCGGCTGCAAACAGGGCAATAGATCACAAGTGCTCTGGCCCAAGGGGATATGTTGCTTCATACCATATAATTGCCTGTAAAGATCCATAATTAATGTCAACCACCAGGATTAGGCACCCTATGGGCCACCCCTTCCAGCCAGCACCATGCCGTTCCCCAACGCCTTTTCAGCTGATGGGAGAGATGTTGCTGCTGAAAGTCAGTCAAAAGTGTAACAGCTTACTGGTCTGCAACGCACTCCTGTGCTTTCCCTTTCCTCCTCTGCCCAAATTCCTCCCACAGCACAGAAAATAATGAACTCAGTCTCCTTCTCTCCTTAGTGCCCTGGTGTATTCACAGAATACAGACTTCAGCTCGGACATATTGGATCCTTCCAATCCTTGCTCACAAACCAATCCTTCTGGGCTCTGCAATTGTTTTTCTTTTCCCTCTCATCTTTACTTTTCAGGATAATCCCAGTTTATGGCCCTTTCCCAGGCCAGTGGACAGGGAGAGGGGCAAGCCACCAAGAGGGGCTGGCAGCCCATCGTACTGCACATGGAGCATCTCTGGCCAGGAGACCCCCATGTGCCACAGGAGGGGGAACAGATGGCCAGAATGCACATAGAAAAGAGAAAAAAACCCACACTGCTCACTGGCATCACTGCAGCACCCAATCTCTGTACTGCCCGACAAAGCCTTTGCACCCTGGGATGGCCGGGGAGCTCTGCATCTGCTCAGAAAACAGGAGGAATGCCCAAATCTTTGCTTATGGGGTGCTCCTGGCCAGAAGGTAGAGAGCAGGAGGACAGAAGCAGGCTTAGAGGCAGCAATGCAGAAGCATCTCAAATAGATGTGAGGAAAAGAGGACCTGACTCAGGTTGTAAGGATGTGTTCACCAGCACCCAGGTGAGGAAAAGCCAGGTCTTTGCTTTGGGCAGTATTCATATTTTGTGAGTCCTGCAGAAACAGCTATTCAGACTAATATTTAGAAGTTATGGAAACCATTTGGAGTGCTGTCTTTGGGTTTCCAGAGTACCGTAAGAATTTGGTGAATGATCTGGATACGAATACCCAAAAACAACGACCATAACTAGGATACAGATCTGGAAATGACTCCCATCAGTTACAGGCTGAGTTGCTGCGAAGAGCAGTAACAGAAACCAGTGAAAAAAGGAGACCTGGGGGATTTAAAACCCTGACACTGCAATCCCGGCAGTGCCCAGCACAGAGCGGCTGCCTCAATGACAGCTCGGTCACCAGGCTTTAATAGGGTAACCAGGAGATTTGCACATTTTCTGTCTTTAAGATCAGATTGACAATGCAGGAAGAGGAGCCCTGGGAAGGGAACTCTCCTGGTAACAAGCAGTACGTGTCCTGCTCTGCTTCCCCGTTTCTGCCACCTCTCCCCGTGTCTCAGTAACTCCAAGTCCTACGGTTACAAAGCTCAGGCTGTTGTGAATGTCGAGAACTTATTGCACAAGGTTGATCATTAGTATTTTCTTCCAGAGTATTAACAGAGCCCGGAGAAACTCACAGAAGCAGATTACCAGAAGAAAGCGGACTTGGCATGGCTTTTACTGAATGGTAATTAAAAGGACAAGTTTCCTGAGTATTTCTCCACACACTGCTCCCCTCCCGTCGCTGGCTCCCCATGGGGCTGCATCTCCACACCAAAACCCGGCAGCTCTTCCAGTGCACGGGGAGCCTGCGGTGATGGATATGAGGAAGGAAACGGATATGAAAATGGATTTTCCTTCGACACACACCAGCTGCACACTAAGGTCCCAGTCTAGCACAGCACTGCCTGTGCTGAGCAGCCACCAGGGGCTATTTCACTGCCACTGCCAAGCTCCCACAGTCAATACTTGCATTTCCATTAGACCTAATCACCCCGTTCTCCCCACTGCAGCCTGCACAAATATCAATATTTATTACAGAGAGAAATATTTACACCGTTCCTTCCCCTCCTGGCACTCTACAAAGGGACACACATAAGCTTTGGTGTCTTTTTAAAGAAATAACACTGACAAACATTTGCCTGGCCACAAGAACACATGCGGTCGGGACCAGCGAGGAACTGAAGATCACAATGAGACTCTGAGACAGAGACAAGACAGCAGCGGAGCTGGCCCGTGAGTGCTGGTTGAGGTCTTCACTTGCCTAAAGCAAAGATTTCCTTCCCTTCCTTATTGGAAACACAAATCCTGCGCCTGACGCTGGCCACCGCCGCCACAGAAACCCAAAGGGAGCCTGCGCCCATCACCTCTGTGAGTCAAATAGAAATGCAATAAACAGCTCATCTCGCGACGTCGAGGCTTTTCAAGTATCGCTCACTGTAAGCAGCGGGGGTTTGGTGGGGTTTACTGCAAGAAACCGGAGGCAGCCGCCAGAAACCACCACCAAAACGCAACCAAGGAGGCAGCATCCCTGCTCTGCCCGACGAGGCGAGGACAGCAGTCCACATTGCTCCAACAGGACCCCCAGAGGTACCCACGGGGCTCCTATGGTACCCACAGAGCTCCAATGGCATCCCCAGACACCAGCACCATGCCCATCACCAGCACAGGGGGCTGCTGGAGTCCAGTGATATGGGATGGGGACACACACAAGCTTTTAAAATCAGATCTTTCCTCCTACAACAGTAAATGGAATTTAAAAAAAATAGATATATATTGACACTATATAAATACATAGATAAAGCTGGATTTCAAGACAGGTTGGATGAGCTGATGGTTTTGTGAGTTGGGTAAAGTTCCTTCTAGTGCCTACAAGTTACTCAGTCACTGAACTGTTTTCTGGCTAAACTGCTATTTTGCTTGTGTAAAAAGGTGTGGTGCAAACTTGTGCTCAAATCTTTTATAAGATCCCAAAAAGAAGAATATTTTGCTTTTCCGGACTTTCCAAATGGCGTACGAGTCCATTTGCAGGACGCCTGAGCCGCATCCTTGGGAGCTTCTCAAGGACAGGATTCAGAGCCAAGCCTTGCTGCCAGGATTATCTCTGTGGCCTCTGTGGTTTTTGCTCTATTTCTTTTTTTTCCTTTTTCTTTCTTTCTTTCTTTTTTTTTAAAAAAAAACCCTTTAAATAAAGTTTTATTTTCTAATATACATCAAACAATTTTCATGCAAAGCAGCAGTCATGGAGACATCCAGACACTCCAGGTTCCTTCCTTCCATGTAAGCTCGAAAAAATGATCCATCTGGCTTTGACTTGGATTGAGATGCTTCGTCTTTTCCTCTTTCTGCCTTTTCACACAGGATCCATCTACGATTTTGAACACAGCCAGTACTTGGGCCAGTCTCCAGCACAGCCGGGGTACTTATACGTGTCCAGCGTCTTTTGTGGCTGTTCTCCCTTTGAATTCCCGAGCGTCCGTGCAATCTGCTGCCCTTTGCTGCGCCACAGCCTTTCTTCAGCTCTCGATGGACATGGCTCCGATGAGTTGCTCTACTTTGTATGCCAGACGCTGCCGACGCGCTTGCTCATCCTGCTCCAGGGCCCCGATGAGCTGGTACCAAAAAAAAGGGAGAAAAAATAAAAGAGAGAAAGAAATCAGTGCACGGGAGGGGGTGGCAGAGGCAGGTGGGCAGCAAGATGCGAGCAACTCAAAATGCGGGGGTGTGAAACTTAAATACCAAATGGCAAAGCAACACGGCTGCACTCGCCGATTTGTTGGACTGCTCAGTGTGCATTACCCGCACCACCAATCATTCCCTCTCCTGTACCTTGGACTCCATGTCTCTTGTTTCATTTTGCATGAAAGTGATGAGATTTTGAAACCCTAATTGGAAAATCGCTGCGGCATTGTATCACAAACGCATACATGCAAATAAATGACAAAACCCGTCCTTTTAATGGACATAATTGCAAAATAGGTTCCTCTTGCACTGAAATGAAGGGGTGGAACAGATGGCGAGAACTTGGTTTCAAGTGATGCATTCATTAAAGGAGCTTGTGCTTCCAGGGATGCTTTGCTAAACCGCAACATGGGATTTGTACCACGCTGCTCTCAAAAGATGGGGATGTTTCTGGGGACCTTCACTGGGTTGAGATGATTTTCCACTGCGTTGAGATGATTTTCCACTGCGTTTAGGAGTGGGCTGCGCTGGGCATGCGAAAAGGCTGAGGAATGCAGTTGCTCCTACCATATTTTAGCTCTCAACCCCCTAGGAAGTGCACTACAGGACCCAAAAAATTCTGTGGGTGAAGAGAACAAGGGCAATGGCTGCCTGACCCGTTATGGCACAGAAACACGGCTCCTCTCCCATGCCATGTGTGCTGTGGGGTGCTGTCACGGCGGGGACACCCACCTCCTCGCTGTACTTGCTGATGTAGGAGTAGATCTCGTTGAGCGCACTCAGCATGTTGAACTCGGCGGCGTGCAGGCGCGACTGCTCAGCGAGGTAAGCGTTCATGTCCTGGTCGCTGATGGCGGGGAGCTTGGCGATGTCAGCATAATACCTGTGGGAAAGGAAAGGGGGGCTGTGAGGAACACTGAGGCTCAAAGTGCCCCTCTTCTGCTGGGGATTTACACTAAGCTCTGCAGGAGAAAGGACATTTTTGCTTACATCCAACAAAATGGGATGCTGGTCTGTAAGAGGCTGAAAATGGAATCACAGAATCATTTGGTTGGAAAAGACCTTTAAGATCACTGAGTCTAACCATAACCTGTCCACCACTAAACTGCGTCTCCAAGCACCTCATGTCCCTGTCTTTTAATTTCCCCCAGGGATGGGGACTCAAACACTGCCCTGGGCAGTCCCTTCCAGTGCCTGAAAACCCTTTTAGTGAAGGAATTTTTTCCCCATATCCACTCTAACACTGCTCACCTCTCCACCCAGCTCTTGTAGCTGGGGATGTCCTTGGCATACAGCAGCTTGTTGGAGGGGGAGTCCTTGCCCAGGCGATGCTCCGAGGTGGAGCAGGAATCCATGAAGGTCTGAGCCACCACGGAGAGGCAGGCGTCTGTGATGCTGCCCTTGTGGATGTCAAACACGAACTGGGGGTTTTTGATGACGTTCACCCAGAAGCGGAGAGGGAGGCTGGTGGGAAATCAAGAAACAAAATCAAACGTTAAGACAAAGGCCAGGGAAGGACGATCGCTGCGGTTTGTGTTCCCAACCAGAATACAAATCGGTGGGACACAGCAATGCTGTAAATAGGAGCTGGGCCAGGTCCCTCAAACATCAGTTAGCCCAGTCCTGCCCAGATTGCCAGTGATGGGTCCTAGGCTGGACACCGCTCCCCTGCGCGGTCTGATCCTGTACAGGGCAATGGAGGTGAGAACCTGGTGAGCACCCGGCTGTGCCGGGACAGGCTCGGCGGTAGCGGGCGAGTGGCTCAGGGAGAAGCCCATTAAACTGGGGTCGTTAGAGCAGGAGGTCGTGGTGCAGAGCTGGGCTGGGGGCACTGATGTGGCACTGGGGGCCCCGCGCTCATCAGCCTGGCTGCGCCACAGCCCATCATCTGCCTGCGCTGCAGCAGGCATCAGAGGCTTTGTCCCCAAATCCAGAGGCCTTTGCAATCAAAGGGGAATTATTATTCCTTTTTTCTTTGGCTGTATAGCAGGATCAAAAAACCAGCTGCTGCTTTCCATTACCTTTCAAGTCTGGGCTCTCCCTGGCTCTCCAGCGCTGCAGCCTTAACTCTTGCTGCCCTGCAGCCACGCAGCCTTAACTCTTGCAGCGCCCGCTCCCCCGGCCCCCGTTATCCCAGCTCACTCCTCCAAGCCCCCATTGCTTTGCTTTGCCCTGCTCCAGCATAACCCTTCTCCCATCTCCCCACCAAAATCCCCTTGGTGGGAATGCTGCCGCTGACCAAAGTGCTCAGCAGAGCCCTTTGTTCAGAGGCCAAATTTCTGCCCTTCTCCAGAGCCTCCCTGTGCCCCAGGGCAGGAGGAAGGAGCAGGGCTCTGCTGGTCAGCGCTTTCTTCTCTATTGCTTTAAGAAGTCTCATCTTATGGTTTTATTTTTTTTGTGATTCTAGAGTTTTTATCCTAATAACTCCTTCTGAGGCTTTCAATAAATTGTTTTTAGCTTCCCACAGCCTTAGCAGGGAACCTGGCTTTTGCAGCCGTGATGATTAGAGGCCTTTTAAACCACGAGGAACTCGGGGGGAAAATACAAAGTCTTAAGGCAGCAACCATTTGTTGTGCTTTTCTTCCTTCCTTGCAGAGGTAAATTCCTAACCCATGGAGCTTTTAATCCCAAAATAATGGCAGAGGCAGAGACAGACACGAGAGCTCCTGTTGTTTGGAGAAGGCTGAACCCAGCTGCAGTCCATGCTGGCCACACATGGGGCTGGCTCTGTCCTCTCTTGTCACCTTCTCCCACTGCCCAAATGCTATTGGGAAGGTGCAGCTCTGGCATTTGTGCTACAGCAGGGTGTAGGCAGAGTGCAGTGGTTTAACACTGCACTGAGTTTTCAACTCATGCATGCATGGAGACAAACCCCACTGCAACATCTGCAGGGGGACTAGGACAGCACTGGTGGTGGTTGAAAAGCATCAGCATGGCTTTGTGGTGCATCTCATGCTTTGGAGCTGTGGGACTTGGTTGTTCCCAGCCTTCCCAAAGCTCTTTCCCATTGCTGTTTTACCCCAGGACATAGATAATCGCTCAATACTCAGGTCTGCCCCCACTTCCACTCTCCTCCTTCTCCTCCTCCATTCTTACCAATTGCTCTTCCACGTGTGCCTCACGTCTGTGTCGTGGATGCCATGCTTATCTGCTTGCTCATCCAAGAAATCAAACATGTACTTGATGGCCAGGGGAAGCGCACTGCCGCGATGCACGGTGCTGAACAGCGTCTCGAACAAGTCGTCCACAAATTTCTGCAGCGTGCCCTAATGGGAGCAGCAAGTGAGAAGGTGAAGGGGGGGCCGGGCACACGCTGCACTGGGCAGCGGTGGCAGGAGGGGACGGCAGATGGGACTGCCAGCTCCCTACAGTGCTGCCATGGGGTCTCAAGGCTGCTTTAGGCCCTGTGGGATGCTCCAGCCTGCAGCTACTCATGGCTGCATTCACTCTTCATTTCTACCCTGAAATAATATATTTTGCTTTCAAAAGCAAATCTGCATTATACAGTGCTGAACTCATGGTGAAAGGCACGAAAACACTCCCTGGCTGAGGAAATAGGTTAAATATTTACAGGCACTGCTGCACCTCTCCCACTCTGTGTGTTTTAATACCGTGCAGAAGAATGAAGTGTTGCAGCAATCACCTTGCAGCGCGAGGAGATCCGGGTTGTGTTTCTGTTGCTGCTCCAGGAGGCACCCAAGCCCTGGGGCCCAGGAAAACCTGGCCAGGACAGCCCCCCACAGCTAAGCATCATCAGGGACCACACAGGATGCTGGCAAATGTGTCTAGAGGGACCCCCCTATGCATTTCTCAAGGGAATTCAGCAATTTAGCACACGGCAGTTACCTTTGTCGCTAACAGCCTGGTCAGGTAGATCTCAGACACCATCTTACTGCCCCGGTCTCCTTCCTTCTGGTCTCCGTGGTCGTGGTTTTTGACCAGGTGCCAGACCTTGACACCGCTCTCCAGGTCGGGAGTGATCATGGGGGCGCGGGAGCGCAGGCTGTCGGGGCTGCCAGTGTAGCGGAAGGTGGAGTCTGAGCAAGGGGAAGAGAAGTTGGTCAGGCTCAAAGCAAACCCCTTTTTCATCCCGCTGTCTCATCTCAGTGGTGCCAGCACACTCGCTAATGCCAAAATCATCCACACCAGCGTTTTTATGGGGTAATGAAATGTAATGCCACCCAAGCACCAACACAATTTGGCATTTGCCAAAGATACACATTAGTCTCCACTGAATAGAGCCCTATCCTATAAAGAATAGGCTTTTCTACTCGATTCACATCTGTTACTCGTGTGAACTCACTAATATAGCTCCATACAGGATTTTTCTACGAGTTACAGCTCACGCACATTAACCCCGGGCACCAACCCCTGCAGCACCGGCGCCCTGATATCAGTAAATAATAAGCAGCTGCCCAGCACAGCCAGCACAAGGGGCAGAAGATATTGCTGTTCTTGAGGCTTTCATCAGAGCAACAAGAGCTCCAGCTGAGCACCCACGGCAGAACCTGAGGCCGGTCCCACATCCAGGCTGGGTGGGTCCAGCATCCCTGCCCCTGCCTGGCAGGGAAAGGGGAGTTCAAAGCGGAGCAGACAAATGGTTTTCCCTTAGTTGCTTGGAAACCACAGAGGGATGCAAGATATATTTAACTTCCCAAAGAATGTGCCTCCCTGGATCCCATCCATGGGATCTTTAAGGCAAGACACAGGGCTGAGTAGCCAAACTGTGCATTTTTGGGTTTTTTTCTCAAATTTCTTTGTTCTCTGGGAACCTGGTGCGTTTTCTCAAGTTTAGCCTGCAGTTCCCTGCTCACCCAGAGTATGGGGATCAATCATAAATCAGCCAAGGGAAATACACAAGTCATTACCAAACTAGCTAGATTTTCATCCCTGATTAAGGCTTAGATAAATGAGTACTCCAACTGATATAATTAAGGAGACAGACAGGGGGACAGCTCGGGAAGCATCCAGTAATTCTATTTTTAAACACAGCTCTGTACCGATATATTATAGGGGAAGTAAATAAGTATCTCATTTAAATTCTGTCTGCACAATTAGAAATATTAATCTTAACATGAGCAATGATAGCTCATATTGGTGGTTTGCAAAGCTTTCCCAGCTGACACAGATCGATGAGCGCTGAGGACTCAGGTTGTGCGACCCAGCCTTGGATTTTCCATCACCTGAAGCATGGGAAGCGCTGGGCACTTGGGTGGATTACACAGGAGGGAGAAATGTAGGGAGAAATGCAAGGAGAAATGCCTTTTCTCTTGGCTTTTCCCTAAAGACTCTCTTGTGGACAGCTCCTCAGAACCCTTATTTGAGAAAAAACCCCATTATTTTTGGAGCTATAAATAAGAGGAGGACACAGGTTTGTCAGGAAACCTCTCGTTTGTAAAACATTCTGTAAAATGAAAGATAATGAAAGATCAGTGCACTAGAGGTTTTGCCACTGCTGCCTTTTATGGAAGAATATTATTACTATTATTGTGGATTTAGTGCTATAAACGCACACCTGGCACCTCGCAGACTCATTTGCTCAGGCTGTAGCATCTTCAGGGACCCTCTGGGAAGTGCCAAGCCCTGCTATTATGCAAATAGAGAATTCCCAGGTGCGCACAGCTGAGCACGCTGAGCTGAGATTGCCATTACCCATTTTTGACCCATTAGCTAAGAATTCAGGATCCTCCACTTCGCGAAGAAAAAGATGCCAGAATTGGGCTTTTCTCTCGGAAAAGCCTTTGCAAAAAACCCATCAGCCAAGGACATTTTTCTGTCTGGCATGTGAACGTGCTTTCATTCTGGCTGACGTGGTGTGGTCTGTGGGGGAAGCTACTGCTTTTTTCTCACCCAATTGCCTTATGGTGTTGCCCTCCTGCAACAAAGGCAGCCTCAACACCAGCCCCATCACGACAGATCCCCATTTAAGGCTGTGACACTGGTGTCACGCCTGGCTCCAGGCTGGTTTGAAGGTGCAGGAGCAATGCCCGGCCGCTCTCCATGAGCCGTGGTGTCCCAGCACGTAACTCGGCTCCTTACCGTATCTGCTGATGGATGTCCGGGATATGCTGGCAGAAGCAGGGATGTTGTATGAGGAGGTCTGCTTGGGAACCAGAGCCACAACTGAGCGGTCTGATACCTGGAAAAGGAGGAGAAGACATCAGCAATCCCATTGCCCGCACTGCCATTGCCAGCTGCTCATCCAGATACGCAGGTGACACAAAGCCCTGGTCCCAGGGTGGGCAGGGAGCTGTAGGCACAGGATGGGGTTCCCCAGGGCATGGGGAGCAATGTTGGCACCAGCCCCAGTGGGGACGTGGTCCTGGCCCAGTTGAGCTCCATAGCAAGGGACTGGAGAAAAGGAGTGATAAGTCAAAAGATAGACTGAAGATGTTTTCGGTCGTCCTGATTTAAGATCATGCTTTATCCAATAAAAATGAGAATCTCAAGAATTGTTGTGATCTAATTAAAGTAACAATGCAGAGGGAATAAAACGGCTATAATAACGTTATGGACCATAAAACATTCCTATTAAACCATTTTTTATTTTAGCAATTTTTACGAACTTTAAAAGTTTGATTTAGAGCTGAGCGAGTCATAAAGCCATCTTTCAGGGTATTAAATTGTCAGTCCCTCTACTGCACCAGAGAAGGAATTAAATGCTGGGAAGTCAAACTATAAATGAACATTAGTGCTAACAAGATTTTGTTATAGCAGATTTTAGTAGCCATGTTTAATTTTATGCTCCCTATAAATCTAGTAGTCACTGGAAGTTTTTTAACTTATTTCCCTTAATTAAGAATCTCCAGGTTTCCAGGGAACGGGCCTGAGTGTCTTTTAATTTTGAACTCGTGGCCCGTGGAGCAGAGAGCAGAGTCACCACATCTTGCAGAATGACAGAGCCACCGGGGCCCAGCCCACAAATCACTGTGAGGAGCTGTACAAAGGAAACAATTTCTCACACCAGAGAAATCGCATTTGGGGCTGAGTCCTCCATTATTTGCCAAGAGTCCTGTGAGGATGGTCTCTGTGCACGGGGATGCTGCAAGGAGCAGCTGAGCTTTGCTCCCCCTGCATCAGCAGAAGGGGGTTCAGGCCACGTCCACAAAGTAACCTGCACAGAGTGATTGTCGCTGCCCGCAAGGCTTTGGGTTCCATCCAGATGAAAAACTTCATGTAAAAATGCGAGTTATTATCACTAGTGATAGTGGAAATAATAGTCACTTATGTTTCGCAGTAAAAAAGTGAGATATTTCTAAGCAAAACACTTAAAACACCTCTGTTATTTCCTCTTCTGCTCCTGCCTCTCTTCATCCAATTTATTAAGTTGCTGGAAGAAGCGATCAGTGGTGATATTACTTATTTTCTGAGGCTGTCATTAGCTGCCACTTCAGTTCAATCTCACCAGGGAGAAACCTGAGCGCCAGCAGCCCAGGGTGCTCCCACTCCGCATCTGCTGGGATCCATCTCCACCAGGGCTGTGGTTAACTGGGAGAGCAGCTTTGAACATTGCACACATGTACAGAGCACTCTCACTCTCTAAATTTTGGGTCGAATGGCTCTTGTCAGCTAAAAAATACCAGCGAGCAAATTAGATGTACCACACATTGGTTCCCCATCTTGCTCCGCTATTGCCGCACTCCTATAAAACCCTAGAGATGACTACAAAGCTGCCTGCCTGGCTTACAACTTTATAAATATTCCGATTCTTCTACAAGCTGGAAACATGCTGCACAAAGCACCTTAAAGGAAAGAAAAATGAAAACTGGAGCTGGGGAGAGCAGCAGTGCAGAAACCCAGACAATAACACTGCGCTTGCATGGGGCAGCAATTGTTCAGCGAGGATGCTGAAGATGCTGCGAGGATGCTTAGGATGCGGCGAGGATGCTGCAAGGATGCTGGCTCCACAGCCACGCCACCTTCAGCTCCTGGGTCTCATTTTCCACACAAATCTTCCCTCTCTGCTTCTAATTTGTCATTTAAACCAGTTTTCTAGTCTCTGGGCCCTTCCAGCCTCACAGGCTGACAGGTATTCATGCTCTGCTGCCTCGGAGTTAACCTCGCATGAGCCACTGTAAATCATTTGATATTAAATTCCGTGTTTCATTTTTCTTGAGTAAAGCCACGTGGGTGAGACTCTCCCATGGAGTTTAATAGGCATGAAACCAAAAGGATACTACATCAGTGTAACACAATTCCTTTGACTCAGTTTAAAAGCTCTGGAGAATGTAACAAAGAATTGCACCTATTTAACCTACACATCTTTTTTACAAATGAAGAAATAAGCAGTAGGCATACAGTTCTCTACATAATTATATAAAGTGATTAAAAAATATTACAGAAAGATTAATATTTTTTTTAAAATCCGATCTGTTTTTTGCATGTGAAGGCTTCCCAATGAAAACTGCATTTCATTGGTTGACAGAGATATATTTTGTATTTTTATCATCCTAAACATGTAGAAAACAAAAGTAATTGTGTCAAAAACCCAGCAGCCAAGTGTGGGGCTGAGAAAATCTGGGCATTAAATCCCAGCCCTGTGCAGAGCCTGCCTCAGCGCAGGCTGATTTGGTCCCTGGCAGGAGCTGGAGCCCAGCACCTGACCAGGAATAAAGACAAGAATAAACCAGCTCTGAATAAAAGATGGAGAGAGCTTTACTGAGCTAGCTTTTGTTTTCCTCTAGAAATTTAGAAATAATGTTCGCCAGTCCTCCAGATGACAGAAAAATCTAGATTTCATTTTTATGTCTTGAACCCTGTGTGCTTTGTATGTAAGAGTCCTGTGAAAATGGTGAGAAGTCATCCTTGAAACTCAGGTGATTTTATACCCTCTTCTACGCTGTGCCCTTGCCTGTATATTTGTTTTACTGTGTCGTCCTGGAGCATCTGTATTTTTGGTACCTAATAAAAACATTTATTACTCAAACAGAAAAAACCCAAACTGGTAGGAATAAAAAAAAAAGTAAATAAAAATTGCTGTATGTTTTTGGCAAAAGCCTGGCCTTGACGAGATTTCTGTGGCAGTGCAGGAAATGTGTGACCACCACCTGGTGAGACATTGGGCAGCAAACTTCTGCTGTGCTCCAGAGCAAACCTGGCACTGAAACGGCAGGAAAAGCTGCAGCATCTCAATTTTGTTTATTTTTAAGGGTAAACTCGCTGCTCAGGATTTTCCACAGGCACCAACATGAAAGCACTCCCTCCCCTCGCGCCCAGCACAAAAACGGCTTTTGCTTCTGACTTCCTTAAGATGACTTTTAGAGATCAAGGTGTAATAAAGTCTCGCTGCTTCCCTGCATGTTGGTTAATCCCTTGCAACTGTCAGGTAAAACAGATTTCAGAAACAATGGAATTCATCTGCACCACTCCTATGACATTTTACAGCAATCTGTGTTTAAATCCTCCAGGGTGCTTGGAAAAACTGACCCTCGAGGTGCTTTTTTACATGCACTTTGCATATTTATGCCATTCTCTCTGCTTCACTCCTTGATTATAGGGCTCCTGTCAATGCTGGCTCACATTCAACTTACACAGCATGAGTCATACTGATGGACTGGAGATGGTGTATGCACAGGGAAAGACGCCAGATTAAATACTAAACACTCCAGTGTAGGTAGTGATGGACAGCAGTAGGTTACGGGTCCTAATTAATGCACTTATCCTCTGCTGCAGACAGACTCTGAGTGAAAGCCTTTTATTCTCTGCAGCCAAACCTTCCTCAGCTCCATTTTTCCCTCTTCTTCCATCTTTCGCACACTGTAAGAAGCCCTTTCCAACAGATGCAGCCTGGACTGGGGCACACACGCTGCAAAAGCTAAAGATGGCATCAATCTCTCAGATCACCTTGCCTACCTTGGCTGATGCACCACAGAGCATCTTTACCATCCACCTTCATTTTATATGACTTTAGTGGCAAAACCCCTGTTACTTGGCTTGGAAGACTGGGTCTGGGTCTTAAGGGGTTTCATGTCACTCTGCAAGAAGCAGCCCCCGATATTCACCCTTTCTTGACCTGGTTTCATCCTGTCCCCTCCATGTGACAGCATTTGCCCCGTTTCCCTTCGTCACTCCTTGCTCAAGAGTCAACGGGTAGGAAGACCAAGGGTATGAGATGAGCGGCCACTGCAGCCTGGTGCTTTGGATCAGATCCTCTCACCGTGTGGTGTCTGCTGGGCCCTGGAGGAAGGCAGGGGCTTCTCTTCCCTTGTGGTCCATCCCTCCCCGAGCCCCGCATCTCCGGCAGTGGCAGCTCAGCCCGCTCCAGCACTCTATCTCACTCGCACGGCTGGCGGTTTTAATTTAGCCAATTTTCAACTCTGCTAGGTTCTTTAAGATCCATGTCAAGGTTGCTTTCTCGTCTAATGCATAAGCACATTGAACCCTTCTGGTTTATCATACAAATGTGACCTCCCTGTCTGTCTTCCTAGATGAGATACTTGGGAATTACATTTCTGCTCTGTTTTTCTTCCCTCCCGGCAGCTTTCTGGGAGCTGTCTGCTGGGGCCACTTTCTTACCTGATAATGCATCAAGGTGTTCAAGCGCTTCCAATCTCCCTCAATCTTGGTGGTGATGTCTTCATCCTGCAGGACCACACGAGCTATCCGGCCCTGCCGCCACTCTGCAGGAGAGGCAGAAACCAGGCAGGTGCCGTGGTCAGAGAGGGAAAAAGCACCAATGGGCTCCATCCACTTCTGCCCCAGGTAACTCCCGGACAGAGGAGTCTGCAGCACAGTCCAACTCCCAGAAAGGCACCCAGAGAAAGCCAAATTCTGCTCTTACATCTTACAACTGCAAGGAAGGTCACACCAATAGTTTTCTTGCAGGGAAGTGCAGCATTTTAATTCTCATGCAGACAGTCCTGCAGTGTTTAACTAAACCGAGGTGCAGGAGCTTCCCAGCCCCTCTAGCTCTGGTAAGAGACACAGGCTTGAGGAGAAGCTTTGCTCAGTAGAGTTAAGGATTCATTCACTCTGTGATCATGGACAATTGGCTGATACCACAGAGTTAAAACCTATCTTGCCCATACTTTCTAGGGGCAGAACCGTGTGTGTTGTGCAGCCTGAGCTCTGGCTTTCAAGCTCTGCAAAACCCACGGGGAGTCCCTGATAACAACCACCTCCCTCATCTTTCCCTTCCTATGAGGCCGGGAGGCTCCTACCCAAGTCCATGTCAACAGCTCTGGGTCTCTGGGAATATGGGACGTTTTTGTATACGGCATCCAGGATCTTCTCTTTGACTTGAGTGATAGTATCACAGTTCAGCACCTTCACGGGAATCTCTGGGCTGTTCTCATTATCCGGGTTCACACAGTTTAGGATCTGGAAGGAAAGAACCACACCATACTCTAAAGGGCTTCAGAAAAGCATCCAGGAGAACTGTAACCACGTATGTCAAAAAAACCCCACGAAAACCCCACTGCATCCCTATCGGCATCACTGCTGTTGCATCTAGTGTATCTTGGTAACGATTACTAAGGAGGCCTGGATATCCATTTTCATTTGCTAGAGGGAGGGCAATGCCCAATGTGCAGGTGGATGAAACGCTCCCTTCAAACCCTGCCTTTCAAAGCCTCCGCTCAGGCTCTTCGTACCTGCAGACGAGGGGCAGCCCTGACTTGGGCACGACTCTAGCAGCATGAGGTTTATTGCACTGGCAACATCTGTGCTTCACAGTAGTGTCCAAATCACAGGCCTGAAGGTGAGCACAGCTCATGTCCGAGTGAGGAGGACAGAAGCGATTCAATGGCAGCTTCAACAGCCATCACTCACCAGAGTCTTGTACTCAATTTGCTGCCGGATCAGCTTGTCCTCGCTGAGGGAGTAACGTGCTTCTCCTGTGATGGCATCGATCGGACCTTTCTCCATCTGCTGCTTGATGGCACAGTAGAGCATGAAGAGCGGCTCCCCAGCGCATTCCTACACGAGACAGACAGCAGAACGAACCCAGGGTGAAGGTGGCATCTCCTCCAGGGTCACCAGCCTGCAGACAAGTTCAGCACAGGCACAGTCTGTGCCATTGACTCCATCTTTAGCACATGCAGGCTCAGCCCCCAGCAGCTCCTGGAGAGGGCAGCCAAAACCATGAGCTCCATGGCTCAATGGATATGTTGTTTTTGGCTTGATAACTCTCTACTGAATCTATAATGGCTGTAAAAAAGGGAATTTGAGACCTTGATCTCATTGTTCACCCCCAGGAAGCAAATACTGCGGGGCTTCCAAAACCACAAATTAAGTTAAAAAATATGGAGATTTAAGTGAGAATTTCCCCTAAGCACTAAGGGGGTGCAACAAAAACCCCATTCCATGAGAATGACCGCAGGCTGTCTAAGAGCTGAGCACGGAGGCTGTGACAGCTTGGCTCACTCCGGGTGTTGCATCTTGGAGCAAATTCCCACCTCCTGTTTCCAGCCCAGATCCACCCTGGGGATGGCCAGTGGGTGAGACAGCACCGTGGCAGCAGGGGCTCAGTGCCACCCCTCCTTACCTTGAGGAACTTGTGGAGGAGGAAGGCAAACCAGTTGGTCAGCATCTTCTCAGCCACTGACTCGGTCCTAGGAAAGCCAGGAGCACACACACATTACAGACAAAACCAAACCACGCAGCAGAGGACTCCAAATGTCCATGGGTGGCACCACCCAGCTCCTGAGCAGGCAGGGAGCAGCATGCGGTTGTCCCCCCTCTACCCCGGCATTGCACAGAGGTGACAGCAGCCTGCCCAGCTGACAGCTGCCACGGCCTGACGGGGCTGGGGACAGGGAGCCTGGTGACACTCGGCTCCTCGCACGTGGTGCAAATTACAGCCTGACTCAGAAAATCACTGAGATTTGAGGTGTTGCTGGCAATCAGAGACAGCAAGTGACAATGGCAGGGAAATTGCAGCTTTCTCCCCAGTCCCACCCAGTGTCCTCTCCCGACATTGTGCCCAAGATTATCTCTAATTTAAATACAATAGCTCCTAATGATAGATTTTAATCCTGGCTCTGCAGGACCTGGGGGACTTTCCTTAAAGCACCACAATCCCTTTTCCTGGGACAGAGAGGCTGTGCTGGGTCATCTGTACCAAATAAACCTGGGCTTTCACTCCCCAGTTCCTCTTGTGTAGGGAGAAGGGAAAAAAAACCCCAATGAAACCAGGTGAAAGACTGAAAATCAAACCTTGGAAAATGCAAACATCTGCTGGTGAGAACCAGAACAAAAAATCTTATCAGCTACTGTAAGGAAAATAATTCATTTCCAGCAAAACCAGAACAGGGACCATGCCCACTTCCGCCTTCACTGTGAGCCTGCAGCTGGGAATGGGCACCTCTCTGCACCTTCATCCCCGGGGCCATCCCTGCCATCTGTCACCATGCCACTGAGGCAGCCAGGAGCTGCCCAGAAGGACCCATTTTCCCTATTCTCCCCCATCGGCTCTGCTGTCTTCAATTAGAGACTGCCTCTCGGTATGTATTTAGACAGCATCCCACATGTTTGAAAACACTGGCATTTAATGAAAAACACACTACAGAAGCAACAGGGTTTGATCCCAACATCGAGCAGATCAAGCATAAACAGGAGCCACAGATTTCAGCAAACAAAAACTGACGCCAGTCAGCAAAGGGACCCGGGGTCACGTTATCCATCATCTCTCAGGATCACAACATCTGCCAGGAATTTGTGAAAATGTCTGCAGATCCCCAAAGATTTTAAGCCTGAATTGATTAACTGCCTAAAAATTCATCCTACATGTTGACACAGACATTGTTCTCCAGTTTAAAATATTGCAGCCACCCAATTAGGGAGGAGAAGCACAAGCACACTGCCACACCAGTGAGCCATGGAAAATGGAGAGGCAGTGACACAAAGTAAAGAATAGGTGAAAAACCCAGAAAGTGATACATGCAAGACTCCAGGGTGAATATTAATTTAACAAACTACTTCATTAATAGAATATTAAATTAAGAACTGGCAAGCCTCCCCACCAGCCCTACCAGTGAACTAATGCTGTGTCCTGTCCCTGTTGGCTTCGTGTGGTCTGACACCAATACCGGCGCCATAAAAATAACTGAAATACAGACTGACAGAGAAGTTTGGGTATTTTGTGTGGGAGAAGGGTATCGGTTTCTTCCATGACTAGCTGTTCCCTTTTATTTCTTTATCAGAAATATGAGATCAGATGAATGGAGCAGCAAAAAGAAACAGCTCGGAGCGTCTCTGTCAAATCCCATTTCTCCTTCCCTCCAAGCAGCGAATCTCTCTCTCATCTCGACACAAACTGATGCTGTGAGATATTTGCAGTGCATCAGTCCCGGGGATGGCCAGCAATTGAGTTAATCATCACTGTCCTCCACCGGAGGAGGAATGGGGCTGCTTATAACCTCCATTGCTGCCAGTTATGGCTGCAGGCTCCCTGCAAACGAGTTTGCTGTGTGTACCTTCCCTGGCCCCTCTGCCTTTGAAATGGGACGGGAGCTGCAGGCTATGGTCCTGCTCCATCTCTGCTATCTGAAACGCTGTTATGAATCTGCCTCTGAAAATAAGAAGAAGATTAACATGGCAGGGTAGGATCCCTAAACCTGGAGAAAACCCTTCTCGCCCTGACCGCATAGCACAGGCAAACCGCGATCCAGAGATGATTTTCCAAAGGAGTCTGACGCCAGCAGCCAGCGCCTTGACTGCTCCTCCAACTTTCTGAGACACCGGGAATAAACCAAAACTAAACAAAAAGAGCTGAGAGAACCCCAGAAAATAAATATGTATTTTATTAATTTACCCTGCCATATCTAGGTCTCAGAACTGCTGTGAGCTGCGCTCTGTGCCAGGAACCAGAGCAGCTATTTGATTTAATGTCAACTTTCTTGCTGTCTCCCATGAGGGGCAGTCATGGAAGAAAGAGAGAGGGGGGAAAGCGAGGAAGAAAGAGAGAAAGAACTGAGTGCCAATTATCAGCTGCTGCCACCAGAGAGCTCAAAAACCCTGTGTCTCACTTTGTGGCTGATCACTCCTTATTAAGTCAGAGCAAGATGGGCCAGTCCAGGCTGTTCTGTTCACCAGCATCACCACAGGGCTGGGACAGGGCTCCAGCTGCAGGATTAATGGGGCCTGTAGTGACAGGACAAAGGGTAACCCTTTTAAGGGTGGAGATTCAGACTAGATAAAGGAAGAAATTTTGACAATGAGAGGGGTAAAACACTGGACCAGGTTGCCCAGAGAGGGGGGAGATGCCCCATCCCTGGGAATATTCAAGGTCAGGTTTCCCCTGAAATGGCCAAATCCTGGCAGGACATTCGATGCTGCTGGCACTGCCCATGGCCCCATCTCTTTGCTGGATGGAGTGGGCACAGCTCTGATCACCAGCCATGTGTTTTTTGGAAAACCGCAAAAAGTCATTATTGATGGCTGAGGCAGAAGACGCCTTCCCACCGACTTGTCAAACCACGGGGGAAATTAAGACGGCTTCCTTTTCCGAGATGAGTTATTGCCTCCGCAAACACAGCCAGATTTAAAGCAATTTCCTGTCAAGTATATTCATTATGGCTGGAGGAATCCCTGAAATCTTCCTAGAGCTGCGAAACCCTCCCCTTGCCTTCACTCTCTTGCTCCAGCAAGACGCTGGGAGAGCCACATGCATGGGGCAGCCCCGTTCCTGCCCCTGGCTGAGGCCAGGCTCTACAGCACAGCCAGGACCTGAAAGGGACACAGGAGAAAGGAGGGTCATGAGTAGGGTTAACCCTGGGGCCTGGAGACAGGCAAGGAAATGGATGGGTCATCCAAAATCCCACATGGAGAGCAGCGTTTTCCTTCCCACACCAGCACCTTGGTGCAGCAGAGCCCCTAGATGCCACCAGCAGTGTGGCTGTGTCAGCCCAGGGGACCACCCTGACCCATGTTACCTGCGCAGGAGCAGTTTGGGGTGGTTCTTGTTCTCCAGGTTCTTCTCGATGAGGTCTGAGAGCAGCTGCTTCAGCACATCAGTGGCATACTCCAGCTTGCCCTGCAGCCCCGTCATGATAAGCGAGGCCACATTGCCGCGGTCGCGCATGGAGAAGCTGCGCTGAAGCTCCAGTGTGCGGATGAAGGGCAGCAGGAAGACCTTGTTGTTGATCAGCTGTGCAAACAGCTTCAGGGCCTTCTCCACACTCTGCTGCCCGTTCCCTTGGACCTGTGGAGGAGGAGAGCGTGGCCGTCAGGCAAGGCATGGGAGGACCCAAGCACTATGGGTGTAGGAACATTTAACCATGGATGCCCAGGCCAGCACCCCGTCTCTCAGGGTTTCAGCATCCCCAAATGTGGTCTCTGGCCTGTCCTAAACAAGTGTCACCCTCTCTGTCCCCCCTAGCACGGCTCAATTTAATAACTGCTCTGAGCTGCACTCTTTGCATGCCATAAACCTGCTGCTATGAGGCTAACAGCCCTATAAATGTCGCACAATTCTGCTTGTTCTGCACAAAAAGTGACACTCTTGTGAGTAAATTAAATACCAATTGCTTTATTATGGGACAAGTGTAAAAAATTAATTGAGGCTTTCAGCCAGTTGCAGATTCGAGTAATTCATTACAAGTGAAAATGATGAACTACATTAAGCAACTCTTTACCAAACATCTTGGAGACTTATGTATTGGTTTCACTAACGTTACATAATTAAGCAACTGTGTAATTGGCAACACATTTATCACTTCTGCAGTTCTGTTTTTCATGAGTAAAACAAATAAAAAGCATTCATATTTGTTTGCTAGGGCATCAGCTTATTTGGCAGTTTAAACAGTGAACATAATGTGTGGGACTGGAAAACTCAGGGCATGGGAATGAGTTGGGAGAGGCTCTTCAGAGCCTGTTTGAGATTTACCAGCACCACAACAACTGCTCAGTGCTGGTGCCCACTGGAAAGGAATTGGATTTGATGCATTAATGCTCAGCAGTGCTTGCCTGGAGCATTAATGCAGCCGTATGGAGCATGAGCAATCAAGACTTCGTCCTCTTACACCTCTGGCTGAAGATCTCGGCCACCTCCCAGTCTGTGTGAAGGGCTTTCAGGGTTTACTGGAGCAATACCAACCTCAGAGGTTGCTGAGTCTGGGACCTCCAGACACCTCCTGACGGGGGACAGTCCCACGCTTGGTGACAGATTATGGTTCCTGAAGCACCATCACTCTTTTTGGCACTCTCCCAGGTAAGCAGGGCCCATCTGCAAGGCGAACTGATGGACCCTTTCATGTTACCGATTTTCCTAAATCCTTAGTGAAAATCGTCTATCTGTATTTACAGACACTAGCGGAAAAAACAGGGAGATGGAAGTGCTCATTGGGGATGCCTGGGCACGGCGCTTGCCCTCCTGTGGACAAGCCATGGAACAGCAGCAGGAGGATGCTCCGGGCAGGAGGATGCTCTGAGCAGGATGGTCCAGGGGAGGATGGTTCCGGTGCACAGCCATCCCCTGCCCCGTAAGGTGGTTAAAAAGGACTTTACAGGGACACCTGGCATGCTTTGCTGCTGGCCTATAGCAATATAAAACCCCATAAAATAAAAGTAAAGCAACACACGGGAGAAGAAACCAAAAGGAGTTAAGCTGTGTGCAACAGAGATAAAACACCAGCTTCATTAAAATGAACTCGGGGCTGATCCTGCTAACCCCAGCATCCCTCATAAGATTCGGAGTGGAAAGAATAAAGGTGCTTTGGGCTTTCTCCCCAAGAGTTCAGGGAAGCTCTGAAGGGCTGAGGCACAGCCTGATCGTTACCTCCAGTTCCCGCAGTACAGGGTGGTCCTCGATGCCAGGGAAAAGGACCCTCATGGCATACGTCCGATAGTCGAGGTAGGGGATCCCGGCGCGGTCCAAGTCGCTGGTTAATTCATTGATGTCTGTCTGCAGCTCTGCAAAAGCTGTTTGGGGAGAACAAGAAAAAAACAGAGCTCCAGGAGCTGCGGCTGCAGGGCAGTGGTTTTGGGAGGGCTGGCTGCTCCCATCGAGGCACAGTAGCAAACAGGGCAGCTCAGGACACTGACTTGGGAGAGACTGCATGGCTCAGAGACCCTCACCTATGGAGACTGCGTCTTGGCAGCTGAGAGTGAGAGCACACACACAACACTGAGCAGATGCCGAGAACAAAAGATGCTCATTAATTTGTATGCAGTTCACACCTGTGTGTACACACCTAAAACACCTTTAAAGGCTGCAGACAGCAATAAGATCTGTTTTCATAACTTTGTACCTCCCACATTTTCAACAGTTGCCAAAATAATCAAACCTGATGCAGATCGAATCCAAGCAGAAACTGCCTGCTGCAGGAGTCAGGAGAAATTTATTCTTCCTCTCATAACATCACATCACCATTTTATACAGCTGTACAGGTGTCCCTGTGTTCATTCTTCAGTGTATCAAATGCCGGCTCAGGAAGGTCTCTGTACCCCAGCCAGGCTGTGCCCATGACAAAGCTGTGCTCTCTCCTCAATATATCTCATTTTCTGTCCTAGTCTTTCAAAGCGATCCTTTTAAAATCAGCTGAACAAATCCAATGCAAGTCTCTATGTACACAGAGGTCACACTATGAAATTTGCAGCTATTTATTTTTCTTTGATTCACTAAGCTCCCTTGCAGCTTGAAGGACGCATGAAACAGCAGCAGCATTCCTCCTCAGAGCACTTTTTATCTCACCCCCCAGCTGCAGAAAGCATTGCCCACCACCAGCCCTTGCAGGCTCAGCCACCTCCTTGCAAGGGCCACTCGTCTGGGTCACGCTCTGCGACTGGCAGGTCCGGCTCCTTCACAGAACACACAAGATTCCCCAGGAGCAAAGGCTCAGGGAGCTTCTCCCTGTCCCTCAGCCCTACTCTGGGATCAGAGACTGGAGGAAGGACCGGCCCAGCTTTCCAGCCCTCCTGCCTTCATTTGGGATACACGCTGCTTCTCAGGATCTGGACCTCCTCCACTCCCCACCTCATTCTGTGCCTTTGTAAAAGCCCTTCACTAAAAGGCTATTAGACAAGGGACATATCGTGTCCTCACAACGCAATCCGGGCACGCCGCTTAAGCAGGATCAAGCTCCAATCCCATTCTCTGCATGTCAGGCAGCAGAGCCGTGTCTGACCCCCGTCCTGCAGCATCGCAGGCGTGCAAATATCACATGGGCATGCACCCTGCTCCTTGCTGCAAAAATGAGATCACAAGGCTGGCTTCAGTGGGGAAAACTGGGGAGCAGAGCACGGGGCCGCAGCACACAGGGAGCGCCCGGTCCCAGGCATTACTGACCCTCCTTGCACTCCAGGGCCACGCGTGACTCCAGGTTGTCCATCTGCATCTGCAGCCTCTTGAGGGTCAGGTCGTTCTCCCGGGACTTGCGCTTGTAAGCGATGAGGACAATGATGACGATGATGAGGAGCAGGCTGCCCCCGGCTGCGATGCTGACGATGGCTGGCAGAGTCAGGAGGCTGTCTGAGATGATGCTCACTGATCCAGGGGAGAAGATGATACCACCAACACGCACCTACAAAGCACAACAGGGGTAACCAGCAGTTCGGGGAAGGGTGTCACAGCTTGCCCCAATGCCCTGTCCCTTCTGGCCAGGGCAGGTACCATGGGGGCTGTGCAGACCCCTCAGGAAGCCCTGAACCGCCTTTGCTTCAGCCAAGAGCATAGCAGCTCCAATCGCCTCCATACTCAGAGGGCGCAGCTTATGTGAACACAGCGAAGCTTCAAGTCATGATAAATGTGCCAGCCCTTCACTATCGGGCTCTGTTCTTATTATCTGATGGCTCCATTTGACTTTCATTTTATAAGCTTTCAACTCCCTTTTGTAAACCATGGACATTAGCAACCCAGCGATAATTTCCCTGACAAGAAACCGGAGCGACTGGAAAGAGAGAACAGAGAAAAGAAAGCCCGTGTGAAAGCTACAGCACAAACAGGCGGGAGGTTAACACTGGGACAGGCTGTTCCTGGATGTGCCCTGGCCACAGATGTGAGCAACTCTCAGCCAGGTTGCGCTTCTGTGAATCCCACTGTGATAATCTGAATATGTTTTGGATGCTGAACTTAAAGGGAAATAAATCACAATTACAACCTCATCTGGGCTCTACTCGAGCACTTCAGCAGCTGTGTGCTTGGTCTGTGAGTGGAGCAGAGGAAGCAGCGATGCCCAAAACCAAAGCAGAGCAAGACCCCGACTGTTATCCTGGACCAGGCTGCGGATCCAGCCAGGCCAGTGCTCAGGTGGCCCTGGCTGCTTCTGCTCCAGGAAAAGGCAGCGCCTTTCCACCCGCCGAGTAGATCAGCTCTGGCTAGAAGGACACTGCCAGAAAGATTGCCAGGTGATGAGTCCCGGGGAGGGAAGAAGTTTCTCCTTGCTAATGCACATCAATATTTTAAGCTTCCAATTAGACACAGAGATCTAAAACCCTACTGATCCTTGGACAAGAAATTGCACTCAGTATCTGAGCGAGCCAGGGAGCTAGAGGAGGAGGAGGAAGGCTGGGCAGGAGGAGAGAAGGGATGCTGACGGGGGTGTGCGGTCCCTCACCATCACTTTGTGCTGCCCGGTGAGGTTCGGGGGCTCGCACAGCAGCTGTGTCTCGGAGACGGTGACGGCACAGGGTGTTTCTCCGATCAGGACGGTGTAGTTGAGCTTTGCTCCTCCAGGAGCGGGTGGGCACAGGTTTCTGCCCTAGGGACAAGGGGAGAGAAGACTTCACAAAGACGCAGTGCGTTTCTTCAGTTTCCATCTCATTCCCATCTTGCACAAACAATGGGACCCTATCTAGTCTATTCTGTTTTCCAAAGCAAGTATAAAAAGCCTTTTTCTGGGATTTTTTTTTTTCAGCTTCCCACCAGGTAAGGGTCTCCTTACCTTCAGGATGATGGGTGACCCCGGCTTCTGCTCCAGCACCCCGGTGGGGCTCAGGAGCTCGAATGTGGGGTTGGGGTAGTACATGAACTTGGTGTCGTTGTAGACCAGCAGTGACTGCACGTTGTTAAAGATGAACCCAAACTCGTCTGGCCGCTCCACGGCATCCAGACCGGGCCGGTACTCCAGGGTGATAGGGGGCGCGAGGCAGGCCAGCGCCGTGGCATTCACCACCTTGCAGACCTGCGGGAAGGGCGATGCTTTGAAAGACGGCAGGGAAAAAACTTATCCTGACCTGGGCATTGAAGTTCTGATTCCTTAAATACTCCCTGAAATATTGCTGCTTAAATTCCTTAATATTCCCCGACTCCTTAAATATTCCCTGAAATTTTGCTGTTTAGGAAGCAGCAAAAGCCCGACCATTTGGCCTCCCTCCGTAAGTGCAAGATTTAATTTCACTCAATTTTGCGTCTTCGAAATTATTTTGGTAGCGCTGTAACTGCAGCTGCTAACAACAAAATTAGATGTCTTTTTAGAAAGAGCTCAAACAAAAAAGGTTTTCAGAGGGGAAGGGAAAAAGGGAATAGGAAAAGACTGCTAAGTGATCTGCCCTTTCTGTGATAATACAGATTCAGACAGAAAGATCACTGCATAAACCTGACATTTTTCAGTTTTACTTGGTGAAAAAATAACACCCAGCTTCACCAAAACACCAGAGCCTCATGCCCAGCATCCTCTACGGGGCAAGGAAGATTATTTATGGAGAGGCAGCTGGAGAGAGACTGGTTGAACACAGCAGCCTCGGGGCTGGCAGGTCTCGGTGCCCAGCTTTTACAGAAAGAGCAGGACTGAAATAGGGAGTGTGGAGCAGTGGGGACAGCTACACTGGGGCTTCCCATCACAACGAGCCTGCAGAGCTGAGCCAGCTACTGGAAACGGGAGGATGCTGGGGAGAGGTCTCGGGGCTCAGAGGCTCTGAAAAAGGGAGAATTTCAGGAGCGAAACAAGTTTATCTGACCCAAGACAGAATTTGAGGTGATGGAGATGACCTAAGATGAAGTCCACCATTTCTAGCTTTGAAAACTACTTCCTCACCAACACAGTAACTGGCAAGGAATTTCCTATTTCTGTGTGTCAGAATCCCTCTTCCCAGGGTCCCCAATTTGGGTACATCAAAGGAAACACCCCCAGAGCAGCTCTTGCCAGGTCAAGCCTCCCCACGCAGGGAGCACTGGCACCAGTAACCACATGCGTGTGTTGGGGTGGGATGCTCCCAAGCCCAGCCCAGTGGCACCGCGCTGCCAGCAGCCACTTACGTTGACAAACTCCTTGCCATTGTACTTGACGCGGATCCTTGGCTCCTGGATCACATCCAGGTTGGAGCCGGTGATGGTCAGGGGCGTGTGTCCGCTGCAGAGAACCGGGAGACACTGGATTAATACCCCAGGAGGGACTGGGGCTGTGTTTAGAGACCATGCGTGACAATAAGGGTGCTCGTTGATCCCAGAAAGATGTTTTCTGGAGACACTTCAGGCACCAGCATGGACTAATACATAGTTGCTGGGATGTGCTGTCTCCAGTTAGCTAGATTACCTGCTCCCAGCTGCACCCTCTCCCAGTTAACAGCACCACGAGGCAGCGGGATGAGAAATGGGACCAAAGAAATCAATTGAGCTGAGACTAAATACGTAAGACAATAAATTAGTCACAGTGTTTAATGATTTACACAGCGGTGTTTTTAAGGAGCACAAGTGGTACGTGTAGTGAAGGAACTGACATTCGCTTGCATCTGGACTGCAGACACAGCAAGATGTCACTTGGAGCAAGGAGGGACGAAGAGCACCCGGTGCCATCGGGGCAGGGAGGACACAGCCCCCTGGGCTACAATCCCCTGCTCTCCTACAGCCAGCGCCCCTGGGCAAGGCCTTTCACTCCTGGCTGCTGCTCTCCCATGTTAACTGGAGCAGCACAGCCCAGATTCACCCCAGTTCTCTCCAGCAGAGCCCAGCTGCTCCCTCAGGCCACCTCTGTCAGCATTCCTGACCCCCTCAGCAAATGGTCTCACCCTAAACCAGGCGAGAGCTTCAATTTGGGCTCAAAGCAAATACAGACCATGCTGCGAGACACTTACTTCTTCCATGGGCAATTTTAAAAAATAATTGGAATTTGAAATGAAGAGCTGTGTTACAGCCCTTGTGAGCACAGCCATTAAAGTCACACCAGGGGACGAATACGGTCCAGGGTTTGTATCTGCAATGACATCACGGTGATGTGACAGCACCGGCCGCCCCGTCCCTAGCAGTGAATCTGGGATAAACAGTACATTTTGATTAGCATCCGCTTTTTTCCTTTCTTGGTGGTTGCTGGTTTTGTTTTATTCCAGGACTACAAGAGGAGCCTTTAATGAGCAATTGTGCTTTTCTTTAGCAGATGGAAGTGATCGCGGGGCTTTATTTGTGCTCCCAGAATCTTGGTGCAGGCTGCTACTGCTATAATTGCCTTAGTAAATACAACTACTTTAGTAACTCTGGACCCGATTTTTGATAAATGTGAATGCTGCAGATGCCCAGCCCCAACAAATGCAGGATGCTGGGTGAGATGTGCATTGCCACACAGACCCTCTTTTGCCCTTGCTGAGTGTATGATGAGAGAGAAGACCCAGACTAGGCAAGCTGGCTCCTGTCCCACTGCGGGAGCCCTGTGTTACCTGGTGATGCTCCACTCGGGCTCGATATGCTGCACTTTGGGGTCGTCGATGTACTCGAACAGCAGCGTTTGCTCCAGCTGTGCCCGGTCCACGCTGACAGAGACGTGCACAGCCCCCAGGCCGTGGGCTGAGGGGGCCGACACGCAGACGATCTCGTTCATGGATCGCCTGCACAAGAGAGGAGATGGGGAAGCGTTAATGGGCAGTCACCGTGTGGGGGCAAAAAACTACAAAGTCGTGATGGTTGGAAAATACCTTTAGGATCATCAAGTCCAACCGTTATCTAACTCTACCATGCCCACTTCTAAACTGTGTCCCTGAGCACCATATCTAGATGACTTTTAAGTACACTCAAGGTTGGTGACTCCACTGCTTCCCTGGGCAGCCTGTGCCAGGCTTTGATACACCTTTCAGTGCAGAAAATGCCCCTTTGTGGTGGCAAACAGGCTGAGACACTGGCCAGCCCCATCCTCTCATACATGAGCTATGGACATGGGCAGGAGGGCTGCACTGGTATGGGAGAGGACCCAGAGAAGAACAGCACATGCTCCCTGAAATTACTCTTTTGTGCCAAACTGCAGCCGCCCGCATCCCTCTGCGAACCCGCTGCCTTCTGTCGGGCGTGTGAAAACAGATGGCCGCTTTCTAAACGGGATGCATGAGCTCGCTCAAAAGCCAAATTCTTCCCCTCCCCACCCAGTGGTACACACGGGCCCTTGTGAGCAGCATAATGGAGCCTGCACGGCCCCCGCTGGGGAAGGGCAATGCCACCATCACCGCTGCCTCCTAGCTTTGTCTGCCCGTCAGCGTCGGGTGACCCTGGCCCCGGTGCTCCTGCCCGGACACAACAGAGCATCTGCTCCTGGCAAAGAGTGGCGGGGGAGCCAGGCGCTGCTGGAGCACAAAGGCTGTCTGCCTGGCTGGATAGATGGACGGGGATGGATGGGTGGAGAAGGGGAAGGAGATCCCAGCGATGCCATTCCCCTGCTGGGACAGAGCTGCAAGGAACTGCAGAGATCCATGGTGAGCCTGGACACTGCTCCTACAGAAAGCACTGAAGTGACAGCCCTGGGAGGCCACTGCTTCCAGCAAAGCTCCGGGGTCTGTACTGGGGTGAGGGGGTGATGTGTGCTCTGTTTTCCAGGGCACATCACTCAGCACCAGGCATTTCAGGGAGTACTGAACACCTCAAGGTCCTCAGCTCACACCTGGGCACACCTGTCCACTGCAACCGAGGAGACAGAAACAATCTCCTAAAATACACTAAACCAATTGCAGTTTACAATTTCTATTGATGCAATTACACATCTGCCCCTTCCCACTCTCCTCCTCCTTCCTCACCTTATTCTCACTCTCCACCTAGGCTTAATTTAACTCTGTAGGCATCCTTGTGTGAGCAAGGATGTATTTTTACAGATGTACAAAGTGCATTTCTCCACCCTCCTTGCTGATGCTTGGCACGATCCCGTGCATGCCCCTGCCTGCTGCCTGCTCCCTGCCCACTGCCCACTCTGCCATGCCAGCGCAGCCTGCTTAGCTCTGGCGCAAGATCCAGAGTGACGCATGGCTGCTGGCAGAGCCACTCTCCGCTCCCTCTGATCAGTTAATTAGCTTTCTGCACTATTATTGTGTCGTCATGGTGACTCTACCCACTCCTCCGATCAGAGAGGGGAGAATGGGGGAAGCTGTAGTTAGAGTGAATCTCATTAGAAAGCGCTTCATCTAATCAGGCTCCCCCACACCCTCGAGTACAAATGGAGTTCATTGCCTCCAAACAGCCCAAGCACAGCAAAGTGCACAGCGTGGCCCCGCATGAAGGACGGTGCCGTGCACGTGCTGCCGCTTGCTTTGTTGAGGTTTCTGCTCTCCTGCTGTAATCAGAGCACACCGAGAATTCAAAACTCTGCCAGGGTTTGCAGGTCAGTGTCTGCAGGCTGCCTGAATTATAATCATATATTTAAGGGATTACGTTTTGGGGCTGGTTGTGCTCTCAGGCTGCTGTGTTTGTGGTAACGCCATTACCCATGGGCAGCTGAGGATGCAGTCTGGCATCTGTGCCTCAGATACGGGGAGAGATGTGGACAGATAGATCGGTTACAGGGCTGGGCACACAGAGTTCGTCTGTGCTCCGAGACCTCCCAAAGCCCCATTTTAGGCTGGACCCAGAATAAGCACCGCTAATATCTCAATGTGCTCCCACATCTGAACGCCCACAGCACCCGTATTGGAGAGCCTCTCAGTCTTCCAGATGAGAAATTCCCCTCCAGGGCTCTTTACATTCCCAGGAACTTCCTCATTTCCTTCTGGGAAGCCTGAGCGAGGATCTGAGAGGCAGAATCCCTCTGCACATCACATCGCTTTGCTTATCCCACGCAGGCTGTGCCCATGCTGTGAAATGCACAGTGCCAACTGCCTCGGGCACCCACGCACGCTGGGCGCAGGGCACGGATGTGTACGTGATGCACACAGATGTATACTGCGCGTATCTTTTTTTATCTAAGCCCCAAGAAAACCCATTAAACCCTGCAAATGTCAACTCTGCGTTTACACTGCTGGGTGAAAAGCAAATTTGCCATAGGAATCCCAGGGGAGTTTTATGGCTATGCAAGTTTCTCCGCAGAAAGCGTGTGCAGATCCCCGCTTTGCTCTGCTATGCAAGAGCCCACCCCTCGCTCAGACCATTTCTGGGAGGATGAGGTACCTGCAGCAGCGGGCGCAAGAAAAGTGATGCGAGCTGTTGATCTGTGAGGAGACAAACTAGAAATTCTCATAAATGTTATATTTCCTTCAGAAAAAGTTATGTTTGCAGCTGATATGGTGTGGGAGGAGCCCCTTACCCATAGAATTCACAGGTCTGGTTCCCCAGGAGCACCGAGACGTGGCTGCCAGCCCCCAGGTAGTGCCCAGAGATGGTCACCATTGTCCCTCCTGACTCAGGGCCGCGGCTGGGGTTCAGGAAGCTCACAGTTGGAGTCTGCAGAGGGAAAAGGACAAAATCAGTGCTCACCTCTGCAGGGCAGGGGACAGCAAGTGGTCACCCTGGCCCCGTGGCAGCTGCAGAAGCATCTTTGGCTGAGCAGGGATACCCTTTCTGAAATGAAAAGCAAAACGGGGATGTGTCCTGGACACCTGACCAATCTCCTGCTAAAGTTTAGAACCCGGCTCTGAAAGAATCTCAACAAAACCACTGCAAACTTACCCTCAGAAAAATTATTTACCTTCTACTTTGTTCTTAAACAAAGGTGAGTTGTTGGCACTGCAGTTTCAGAAGATAAATATATCCCAAGCCAAGCAAACTGCCACAATGGAAATTAAACTCAAATGTTTAAAGTTTGTCAATGTGGTAAATTATCAAAAAAGACCCCATCAGGGTCTGGTAATGGGAAATAAATAACAACTTCAACAGAAAGGCAGCACCATCAGCTCAAGCCTCACATGAACCACAGGCAGCATGGCTGTGAGGGCAGAGCCTGTGTCCCATTGCTAATGGAAAGATGCCCTTAGATCCCGCTTGACATTTTATTGGTAATATTATTGCAGCAACGCCACTTCTTTATCCTGATAGCTATTCATCCCACTTAATAGAATCTGCAGAAAGCAGGTACCTTTTTATTTGTTTTCGTTCAGTGGATATTACCGAATTGTTTCACTAATGCTTTCCCATTACCCTCTCCATGACGCCCAGCTGCAGAGGCTGGCAGGCTCCCAGCTCTGCTCCCCCGGTACCACCTGCTTGGCAGCTCCCAGGGTTTGTCCTGGTTTCCCTGTTTTCACAACACGTGTTTGCTGGGTGCCACTGCATTTGCAAGAGCAGCTAAGACCAAAACCTTGTTTGACTCCTGAACAGACCAGAGGAAAACACACGATCCATCCTGTTGTGGATCATTATTGAATAATGTTGCAGGAGGGAAAGATTTGTCCTTCAATTGCTCATGGTCAGCCCTCAGCTCTTATCCTAGCTGGGGTCAGGAGTTGGACTCAATGATACTCGTGGGTCCCATCCAGCTCTGAATATTGTGATTATCCTAGCTAATGGCAACGCTGGACAATATGGATGGTAACAGCAGTGTTTACACTGGGCAGGCTTGGGAGCACTTCATACAGCCAAGAGCAGTAACTCCAAAATGCAAAAACACCCCCTAAGGATGTCCAATATACAACTGCCCATCCAAAACCTTCAGCCTCCAGCCCAGCCCTGGCGACTGCTCCCCAGGTGAATTGGGAACAAGATTTTTCCATCTTCAGCTCACAATTTGGTGATAATTATGACAGATTTACAGATCCAAAGGAGCTCCAAGGTTCCAGCTGAAACGGCTGTAATGGAGGTGACAGCATCGCTCCCGTGCGGCGTCAGCCACCACATGAGCTCACTAAGGCATGAACCCTCCCAGGGTCAGAGCACAGCTCTGTGTTAAGGTACCAATCAATTTCACTACCGACTTTAATGGCATAAACCAGCTATAATGGAATTTGTGGCGGCACTGAAGAGAAAAATAGAGGCCAACTAACACAAGGAAATGAGGTGCTAGAAGTTTTAGGTGCTTGAGAAAAAGAAATGATGTAATCAGGGAAAGTGCTGAAAATCAGAAGCAGCAATGCAAAGGATGAGAACACTCGTCATGCACTCACCAGGCTGCTGCAAGGTCCTGCTCCAAGATTCATGGCCACAATTACCTTCCTCTGGCTCCTGGCTCTTATTTAACCCAAACACAAGAGCATCCTCCTTGTGTTGCAGGGAACCTGCCTTTCACTAATGGCAGAGGGGTTTCTGGCATATTCCAGCAAAATGTGGTGATATTTTACACCTCTTGTATGATGCTGAATAAATGAAAATCCCAGGGGAGAGTGTTGCTTACAGCACTGATAGGGTGGCAGGGGCTGGGCTGATTTCTCTCTCAATTACTTACAAATTGTGGGCAATTGGTAAGTGGCATTTCCCTGCATACAGATTCTCCTAAGCACAAAATCAATGTGGCTGGATGAAGTGCCCTGTTTAGGCAAAACTGCAGATATGAGAAACCCCAGTGGTGGCTGTTAAGTTTATGAATCAAAATACTGCTAATTAAACAACGGAAGGTAATGACCCACCCAGCCAGTGAAAGCCCACCAACCCAAAGAGCAGCTCTCCATTAAGAAGGGGAAGCCTTCACTGAACCAACATCCTTGGAGGGGTAAGCGATCCTGGCACTTTAAAGAAGGTTATCACTATTTTGGAGGTGCAAAGCTGGAACCAAATGCTGTGGAAACAGGTTCCCACCTAAATCCTTTTTTATTCTGTAGATCTGAGCAAGTTCTAGATCCTGAAAACTGGGCTTGATAACTGGGGCTATCGATAAACCATTCCATGGGGAAAGCATCAGGAAAAGATGGGAATTTAGGACTGACTTCTGGCACCTAACCCTGTCCATCCAACACGCGCGTGAGGAGCATGGCTGTCCCCGCGGCGGCCAGACACTCACCACGAAGACGTACTGCTGCGCCGACCTGGCCGTGAACTCAGGCTTGCACTCCCCGATGCACAGAAGCACTGGGCCAGAGCTGATCCCGGGAAGTGCCTGCCCCATTTCACAGACGATCCTGGAAGCAGAAATGCCACAGTGAAGCTTTGGCAGGAGGCACCAACTGTGCCCTGTGCAGCTCCAGATAAGGCTGGCTTTTTTTTTTTTTCCCCTTCTTTTTCCACCCCCCTCCCTCTTTAACTTTGATATCTGCCTCTTTGGAAGAAGTTAATTACTGAGTCTATTTTTACCTCGTGTAGTAATTTAAAGAAAAAAAAATAAAAATTAGACATAATTATTACAAGCTGTAAACTCCAGAGCAAAGCAGAGCACTAATGGCAATATATTAGCCAGTAGCAAAGTGAGTGCGAAGTCCTTAGAGTAACAGATGAGTTCATTAAGGGAACAGCTCACACTGCAGTCTCCCAGTTAATCAAAAATGGAGAAACCTGCTCAGGGATGACAGAGACAGCGGTGGAGAGCAGGGAGGCAGGGCTGGCCAACACCCTGCAGGCTGCTGCTAGTACACGGAGCCGGTGGCACTGACTGACACCCATCCCAACTGACACCCATCATATCTCCTGCTCCTGACGTGGCTGGGAAGCTCAGGATGGGGGCACCCTGCTTTTGGGCAGTGGGATGCAGTGATATCGGTGATGAGATGCTCATCCATGTTCGGCCCTGAGAGCAAGACCAGAGCAGGACCAGAGCATCCCGTCCCCAGCAAGGCTGGGGGAGCTTTTGCAGAGCAGCAGGGGAAACGCTCGCTCTTCCCTCATGTACAAATGCACAGAAGGCTCCAATTTGCAATGGCAGCGTTTTGGCTGGCTTCAGCAGCATTAAATTGTCTATGAGTAAAATAAAATAAAAAGAGCAAGGGAAAAACAAACCTGCAGACAGCATGCACAGGTGATGCTGGGAGGCCTAACGCAATACACACACACCAGTAAAGAGCTCTAATGTGCAAGCCCTTATTCCTGCACATCAAAACAGGTTGCCTAGAGAAACTCTGCCTTTGGAGAACGGGAACTGCAGCATCTTGGCTGCATGCCTTCATCTGCTACACTCCCCTCTCACTGCCTTTCACCCAGCCATCGCCCCTGTACCCCTGTCCTCTGCCTGCACCTTCCTCACTTCTCCCCCTCCAAACCAGCAGTGAGGTGAGGGTGGGGGGCTAGCATTTGGGGGGAGTGACCTCCGCTCAGGCCAGTCCCCAGGCAAGCACAGCAAGGTGATGTGGTCCCTGACACCCCAGGCAGGAGAGGAAGGCTGAGGTTTGCTCCCACAAGAAGCAAGGACGCATCAAGCGTTATATATGGGGAAACACCAAATACTCAATTATTTGATGGGTACAAGCAACCAGGTACACCTGATCCCGATTCCTGATAAAAGCCAAATTCCCAGCAGGTACCTTGTTACAAAATGATGCATTCAGCAGAGCTGTGGGGTGCTGATTGCTGGGCTAAGTGGCCCTTTCACCAACATTAACCTAATTGCTGGCTGATAGATTGCATGGCTGGAGCATATGGTTAGTCATTACAGTCTTGGAATCCAGTCTGCCCACAGAAGCCTTAAGAGGGTCCTTTTATCTGAATTCGTCTTTAAAAGGCAGTTCTCATGCTAACGCTTGCTGTTATCTGCCCAGGGTAAATGTTTTAATGATGTTAACAAACTTTGAAAGCTCAAGAGCCATAATTAGAGTCATGATTATAAAATCAGGGTTTCATACCATCAAAGGAAGATGATTTTATAATCTTCCATCCTTTATTTGAAAAATAAAACAAAATACTGCTCAGCAGAACAGCCCAAACCGCGAGCACTGACAGCGCTTGGAGCCACTCCTGCACCACCACCAAGGATGCTCTGCACGTTCACAGCGCCCTTCAGCCGGCAATGGGATGCGATGCTGATACCCTGCACACACCCTTGCTGTACGAGAGGGGACATTAATGTCACTTCTGTCTTACAGGTGGGGAAACAAGAACAAGGAGGGAGTGAAAACCAAACCAAACCAACATGTGCCAGCAACAGGTCCTTCCACTGCACTGGGGATCACTGGGACCCACCAAAGGTGTTTCTCCATCAGAGGACAACTGCATCCAGCTGCTGCCGAAGCTGGGGCAGATCCGTGCTGCTGGGACCACTCATGGGCCCTCTGACACCCACCGTGAGCAGCCACAGCCCTGCCACACACTACGGTGTCCTGGTCCCCACAGGTGAGATGAGACAACCCAAGGGGAGACATCACACATTGCTCCTCTCCTGCACCAATGACCCCCCAATGCACCCCTCAGCACCGCAGGTACACCAGAAACACCCCCCTCACCCAAACAGCAACAGGGGCATGTGTCACTTTGGGAGGTTTATTTGCCCATCCTCTGTTACATGCCTATTTTCTAATTTTCGGCTGACGTTTTTCTTAGTGAAATAAATGAATTGACTCCAGTGGAGGCCCATTCGGATTAAGCGGCTGTCACCACCTCACCCGCCTAACAAATGGCTGCATGCAGGCGGCAGCGCCGGCTGAATGTCAAGTGTGATGTGGAGCGGAGGGGGCAGAGAGGCTCAGCATCAACAGCAAGGTGCTCATCAGAAAAAGTTGCTTAGCAAAGCAGGAACCGCAGGGTGGAAGGAAACAAAACACTTAATGAAAGCTTAAAGGGCTGCTTAACCCCTGGAGCGAGCTGCCGAGCACCTCGTGCCCTGGTCCAGGCACCATCCAACTCCAGACCCCATCCCACAGGGCTGCGAAGGGTGCAGAGGTGGTGCCCGGGGTCTGGATGGGTTACTGGCTTCCTCTGTGGTTGCTGAAGGTCAAGGCAGAGCTGGGCCAGCCCTGGAGACGCGCGGAGAGGACAGGAGAGGTCCCCAGGCCACTCACTGCTCTGCGACGATGTACTGCTCGGGCAGGGGCCGGCACTGCACCCCCGCCACCTGCACCCCCTGCGCGATCTCCGAGAAATCCAGGCCCAGGTTGACGCCGCGGATGGTCACCCTCGTCCCTCCTTCGGGGGGGCCCGACACCGTCAGGATCTGGAGGGAAACACAAGACAGTGACGCTGAGCTGTGTCCCCACAACACCCACACTGCTTCAACCCCCAACCTGGCTTGGAAACAGCGTTTTCCTTGCAGGTTGCTCAGGGAGGCTGAGTGCTGCAACCTCCACCAGTTCCTGCTGCCAGACCCAGGCCAGCACCACCTCCTCATGACCCCTCTGGATATCCTGGAGAAGCCCAAGGATGCCAAAATCCATGTGCGCTTTGCTCTGAGAGAGGCCACCAAGGTCCCTGAGCTTTCCTCCAGAAAGGAAGACAAGAATGGCTACTTTTTTATATATAAATAAGATCTATATACCTTCCAGAAGTAGCCTGCTGCTTCGGAGAACTTTGTTAACTTCTGCCTTGGCAGCTCTCTGAGCATTAATGTCACATTTTATTAGGAAGTTGGCACCTCAAATGACTTACAAATGTTAAAGGGTGAGATGTGTGCTTTAAAGGTGCCTGTTTATAGCCTGCCTCAGCCGTAATAATCTCTGCTTCTGTAGACTTTCATTAAGGACAATACCACTTCAATTAAGAACATAAATTCCAATAATGTATAGTTACAAAATTTGGACCCAAGACTCCCAAAACACTTGTCCTGAATCTGCCACCAGTCTGTTATTGCTCTCAGGCGAGTTACTAATTTTCTCCCTGCTACAGCTGTTATTAATAAATAAACATCATCCATAATAATGCAATTTAATTAATTTAATGGACAAATCTTGTTTATGCTTGTTTGTTCCACCCTTGTCTTTGGCAAAAGATCTGAGCTCGTCAAACCCTTTTCCTCAGCCTTTCCAGATGGTTGGCTGCTTTTCCTTCACCTCAAGAGCTCGCTGTCCCCTGGATGGAGCGAGCTCGGGTCCCTGCTGAATTGGCCACCCGTGCTGGGGTTCAGTGGCTCCAGACCCCCAGCAGAGCCCTGAACTGCCCATAGATCGACCCACCACCTCCTTCCCCTCTATATGCTTTATTCTCTACCTCCCTTTCCCCTCGGCCGCACCACCGAGGTTTCCAGTTTCTTCCCCATGCTGCACTGTTTTCTGTGATACATGTCTTGTATCATTTAGCTCCGCCAAGCACTCAGTGCCCATAAAAGACATTACAAAATCAAGTTGTACTGCGTTATGCCGAGTCCTGGAGGCCTGCACTGGAGGCACTTCACACGCTTGACAGTTACAACTGTCCTCTGCAGCTCGGGATTATGTTAAAACACATTTGCTGGAGCACTTACACTGCCCAGCTCCTTGTCTCATCACTGCTCAAGAGAAGTCGCCGTTTGCCATTTCCCGACCTTGCCACAACCGGCAGAGCCAACCAGCCCCACCGAACAAAGCAGAGCCCGTTCTGTATTCTGAAAGTGTCCTGACCTGGAAAATCCCCAATATGGAGCTCCACTCGACCTAGATTTTAGTGGCCGCTAATTGAACAGTTTTGAAGTAACTGTGTCATAAAGCAGCCCCAGGGTTAGAACAGATGCATTCAATTAATTACAGCTGGAGAGATTCAGTCAAAATCGCAGAAAGAAGATGAGTCTTAAAGGTCCCAATGCACCGGGTGCTGTTGACCCCTGTGAGCATCCCGAGGTCACCTCGCTGTGCCGCAGATGCTTGGCCAAGGCAGCTCCACCAAACCCAGGCTGAGCGCGGGGTCACCTGAACCCGGGGCCGTGGCAGCTGCTCAGGCCGCAAGGACAGTGCATATTCCTGGTCTGAGACAGAGAGGATTGGGAAAAAATATTCCCCACTTTCGAGAAATACACTTTAGCAGAACAGCTTTCCACTCTGAGGTCTGTGGAGGATCATGAGAGCCTGCAAAGGGCAGCTGAGGGAAAACAAAGCCTTTACCAGGAATTGTACATTTACTGTCTAGGGGTCTGCATCTCTGCATCTGTTTTTTTAGGTTGTTTGCAGAATTGAAGCAGCTGGAAAGTCACTGTGATCTAGAGCAGGGTGTGGGAGGCAGGGCCTTTGGTTTTGCTGATCCTCCAAGTTATTCTAAGCAGGTCACCTCTGCATCGGCCTTGCCTCGTGTGAAAGAAATAAGCAACCAACCCTAATAACGCACCTTGATGCTGCTGCTCAGTGAAAGGAGTAATGCAAGTGTGAGGCACTGTATCATTCACAGAAAGGATCCAAGTGCAGCGATGAAGAGGTTGGTGGTAGGAGCTCGGTTATCCTCACATCGTGTAAGGGATGCAGACGCACCATGGCATTTCTGGTTTTGCTGCTTCTCACAAGGTGGGGATCCAGGAGCTCCCCCACGGTGCCAGCATGCTTCCCTTCTCATCCCGCAGCAGACATGGCTATAACAGCACAGGAGAAATGTTCTCGGCCCCACATCTCGCCGGTTGCATGGTTCAGCCTCCAGAATTTGTCTGTGCACGGGAACAGGGACGTCCTCCTGGAGCTGGGGGCGAGCCCCAGCCTGTTCTGCACCGAAACCACTTGGCATCTGTTGGGGTGCGTGAGAGCGCGCGGCTCGCAGACTGGATGGCGTAACTCCTGCCCCCTCCCAAAATGTCATCCACCTTTGCCCCCTTTGTGCCGCCTCCCCCTGCTCGGAGCTGGCTGGATCCCAGCTGATGAGCCCAGTGGGAAGTGGCACAGGAGCACTGTCATCCTGGCAGGACCCTTCCATGCCTGATAGTGCATTCAGAACCTAATGACTATCTCAGCAGAGCAACTCCATTATTAAGCCTCACACTGCCACCCCCATCAGCTGTTTGTTGTGCTGATGTTATATTAATGAGGCCTGCAAATAAATGAATAGCAGATCAGAGTGTCGCTCGTTCGCAAGAAACCCCATTTTTATTTATTTATTGCGAAGACCACAGACTGTGTGGAGGTTTGATGCTGTTAAAGGGACACTTGGTGACAGCTGGGCCTCTTGCTCAGAAAGAGAAGGGCTGTGTATGTCCTGATGCTCATTTACCTCCATCACTATCAAAACACAATCTCTTACTCGTTCTGCATCCCTGAAAGCACTGCCAGTGCCTTCTGGAGGGGAAGTGGGATGAAAGGAGTTAACTTGTGCTGCTGAGAGGTTTGGGTTTAGGAATATTGACCCTGCAGGGTTTCTACTGGGGCTTTGCCATTTTCCATAGACCTGAGTGCTCCAGAACTTCACAAATTTCTGTACGAGTTTTTAGCCCTATGCAGTGCCCTTCCCATCGGTGGGTCTCAAAGCACACAAAAAAGGCCACTGGTTTTCTCTGCTTTCCCCTTCCTTTTCCTACATCCGTGAAAACTGCAAACTTGACTTTCATGGGGGAAAAAGCTGTGAATTGCTAAGGAGAAGGGTGGGAGTTCACAGAAAAACGCCAAACGCTGCAAGACCCGAGATAAAATCACAACAGCTCACAGGAGGCCAGGGACAATACAGCCCCATGAAACCTGCATTTTCCATCACTGCCCCTCACTGTGCAATAAGCCAATCTGCCAACCCAAGCACAGACACTTCCCACTCATTCCTCTCATCTCCAGAGCCACTCGGGGCCATCTCCCAAGCCTCCAGAATACCCCTGGTGAGGCAATCCTGCGCTTCCTGCTTTGACAGCTGAGGCACAGCCCTGGCAATGGAGAAGAGAAATCCCCACCAGCAAAGCTCTGCTCTCTCCTTGGACACAGCCCAATGTGTTGCTGTCGAGCTGGACAGGGATGAAACGTGTGGTGGCAGCGCCGTGCCCGCAGCCAGCCTGGCAGCGCAGAGCCCAGCCACTCGCTGGCCGTGACAAAGTGTTTTTTCCTCTTCTCTGCTCTGCTCAAGGATGGGTAAATAAATAAATCTACGACTTCTTCAATGCTACAACTGTCTGAACGTTTTATGGTGAGGAAAATCTCAGGCAGAGGCTGTTTCGCATCTTGCGTCTTGTATAGCATGACCTTGTGCCAGCAGAACAGCATGGGGATAGGAAAAGTTTGGTTTCTGACCACTGGCAGGATGAGGTGAATATCCAGTCAAGCCTTTAAGGCTCATTTTATCCCTCTGTAAAGACAGAGATGACTTGCCAAACAAACAAAAACCCGAACGAGGGAAGGACAGACTCTCAATGTTTCTTAGCACGAGCGCAACAGGGCACTTTGATCCAGCGTTGTGTTATACCCATGCCTTCTGCAGCAGGGACATGCACTTAGGGCAAGGGAGTCTTTTCTGGGGAGTTAATTAAGTGAGAAACCAAAATCTTCTTTCATTCCCACCCGATATGGGTGTCACTCCTAATAGTAACGTTAACAGACCGAGTGCAGTTTTACTGGTAAAAATGCTCCTGGGAGACGTTTTGCATCCCTCAGTGGTCTGAACAGAAACATCCGAAGCATCAACTACAGACTAATTAGCTCCCTAGT